ATAGAATTCGTCGTGTCTTTCTCCGAGGTACCACTGGTCCCCTAGTCTTGCATTCCATAGACATCCCGAAATATGGATCTTCATTGGTATCCAACCAGTTTCATCGGGTCATTCATTGTAATATGCACTTGGTTTCTTTAGAGCATATTTCATTGCTGTGGTCTGTAAGTAGAGTTTTATGGAACAGCCCTGCGTCTAAAAGACTATTTATGTCTTCACAATGCTGTCTCCACCATCGCGGTCGCTTCGATCGCCTCAGCTTGACGTTATATTTCGTGAAGGCTACGTAGTACTTAGCCCAATTACAGGTTCTTTTAGCCCTGTTGAACAACTTCCTGGCCTGGGATCGGAGCTTTTGAATCCTCTGATTACACCAAGTTACGTCGCTCGTATCCTTTTTGCCCTTTAGGGAGCAGCTTTCTTGATACGTCTTTTTTATGTTTAAACGGCCTCCCCACTGTTAGAGAAATGCGCAGACGTGTTTGCGTTGTGAGAGAGTAGAAAGCGATACATATTCCAATTCGTGCATTTGGGATTTCTGTAGGTGTGGCATGACACCGTGTAGGCCACAGTGTTGAAGTGTATGCGTTTATGGTCCGACAATGAGACCTCACTTCATACATGCCATCTTAACATAAAGGAACCCAGGCAGAGTGGTGAGAGTAAGATCTAACACCTCCTTTTTGGTTGCGTTTCTGAAAGTGGGCCCCTACCTCGATTAAGAATAATAGCATTATTTTCTAAGAAATTTTCAAGCTCTGGAATTATCAGTTGTTTCTCCAAACTGTATGGGGGTATTGGCATCACATCCGATGCCGGTGTAGTACAGCACCGTCCTTTCTCTCAACTTGATGCTCTCCCGTTTTTTTAATTGACAAGGCCGTTACCACCACCCAGACAGAGCCCAATGAGCCTTCCCCATGGTCCATCGCGGCCACCTCACTCTTACGTTTTCTGCCATCTTACCGCTAGGTCTCAAAGAAACTGACCCAGAACCAAAGCAGCCAAAATTCAGCAATTCAACGGCAGCACTACTGCCGAAGATTCTTTTACTGCCAGAGTTAGCACCGTTGTGTTCATTTTAGCACCGCTCTGGAGTATCTTTCAAAACTCAATTTTTAAGCCCCTGTGCTGGCCCTCCAGAATTTTTAAAATGATATAACCGACGCATGTGATCCTTAGACACAGTTTTAAGAGTGGCACATTCGCATGACTTTATTACTGACACTGTGATCTTCAGCCATCCGCTGTCTCCGCTGGCTACAGATTCTATCCAATAAGCACTTGGTATCGTCGTCCGTTAGTCGTCTTCCTATGACGTCTTGGGAGAGTCGATGGGGATAATTCCTATCCTAGTCAATTCTGCCACTTGCTTATAAAATCAGTTCCAGATGCCTGGGCCGCAGTAATGTTCATGGCTCCATTGGGATTTCCTATCGTCCAAGTCGCTGAGCGTTTTGGCGGATTTCTGACCCTAGAGGCCGAAGTGTCGTCCAATCTGTGCCGCTTGCAGTCGGCCTAGGGCTTTGTCTTTTCCAAAACTGCACGAGCCTTCCTTGCTCTCTTACCTTTGTCGTTCCGGAGTTCCTAGGGAGAGGTTTCCTCCGAAGGTTTAACTGCCTCAGTCCCTTGTGTGCTCCCCAAAGTGAGAGCTGGGGAAAACGCCTTTGGCCTCTGTGAGTATGTTGGCTGTACCTTTCCTATCCTAAAACATGACAATATTCTCAATTTCCGGAGCGGGTTCGAGTATTGCGTCCCCTGGAGGGATTGGTTTTGGTATTTTTGCTTCGTTTTTCTTTCTCCATGAATGCTTGAAAATTTAGGAAAAACAATCAGCCGGGACAGACTCCTGCCTTCATCCATCCAGCTTTGCTACAATAGAGGCGCCCTTGCCAGCTTTTAATACATAATAATTAGTGTGCTAATATTTGTTATAAAGTTCTGAATATTCCACGTTCGTTATGACTCCAAACCTGCAAAAAATGCTTTTATAAAAATATATTAAATGACGTCGGTCGTGACACATTTGTCTAAGCAAACTGAACTTACGCCCACGCAATGTATTCGTTCAACAATTTACACATATTTAAGGCACTTATATAAGTCATTTGACACATGTATAGGTTGCGGTAGTTGCTTCCTAACATATATGCGGATCTATCACTCATTTTTCAACTATTATAACTTTTGGTCGTTTAGAAATATCGTCGTTCGTTTCGCTTGCAAAATAATAAAAAAATTATACGGCTTGCACATTGCAATTTAGTTCTCGTTTTTTTTTTAATACGGAATATCGTGCACGAAAGTTCACACTATTCAAAACAATGCCGTTGGATATAAAATTTGGTTCAGCAGAAGCAAATACGTGATACTACTTTCCGTTAGAAGATCGCATATCGCCTGGTTTTTCTTTTTGGTTTTTATTATATTGTTCTATTTTTTGTTATAACTTGTTATATTTATTTCGGAACGTTTAAAAATTGCTCGCGGTAAAAATTTCTAAACGAGCACACCATTCACAATTCCACAAAAAGGCGTACTTTGAAACCAAATTCCTTTAATGATAGCCATTGTTGACCGAGCTGAGCAATAGCTGTTTCTCATATGATCACTCTTTGCATCGCACAAAGCTATCACTACGATGTTTTGCAATTTTTTAAGCCAAAAATGGAAAATTCTATTTAATATCAAACAGTATCTCATCTATGGACGAAATATTTTCTTTTAGTTTTTTTGCAAACTTTTTCGTTTCTCATTTTATTATCTGCATTGCAATTAGGTGTGTCTCACATATATACATGTTAACATTTTGACAGGGGGAAATGCAAACACGATGTGTCCTTTGAAATGATTGACATTTACATGTGTCGAGGAGAAGATGTAGATGACACTACCACATTGTATAATCCATTTCTCTGTAGATATAAAATGGTCACCTTTACAAATTGGCGGATTATCCTCTGCTCAACAACCTTCTTCATATAAGTATCAAACAAAAAGATTTAAAAAGACTGCACAAAGCTCGGAAAAATTAACAGGATGAGACTTTTAGAAAATAGATAAAGACTGAACTAAAAGGTGGAAAATAAATTTGACCCACTCATATTTTTACGATCGGCCATAAAAGGTCACGGCGCTTAGAAAGAATCGAACTTCTCGCAAATTAAAATGTTAAGCGGTTGAACATTGTGGTAAAATTTGTTTTTTAAGTTTTAGTTCACTCAAGGGGTGACACCGCTTTAACAGCTTAAGAACGGAAGTTTTTTGACTATTTTTTTTTTTTTTTGTGATAGAGGTTAAAGATGAGGCAACAATAATACTCTAGCAGGTTATTAAGAATAATTTTTAATACTAGCGAAAAAAATTTTTTTGGAAAAATATTAAAAAGAGGTACGCCGAAGCGACTCTCATGAGGCATTTACAATGAACGTAGCTCCGCGGCCTACGCTTATTTTCGTGGAACTTGAAATTTACAAAAACAAGGAAAAATTTAAGATTTTAAACTCGAAAGCACTTAGTTTGCTGCGTCTGTCAAAGACATGATGGAGAAAGTTGCAGCAAAATGTATAATTCAATAGCCGAATTCATAGCCAATATCAACAACTTTAATCCAAAATTTTAATTTCTTGGCGAAACCATTGAAAGCTTTCACATCGCTTTTATCCTCATACCCATCCAGCGGTTGTGAAGCAATATGAACATATTTTTGCTTGGAAACGATTTTAAATTAACATAAATGCCTTTTCAAGAGATCTGTTAATATTTTAAAAAAGTTGGAAATCAACAGTTAAAATGTAATTTCGCTGCTATTGTTCAAAGTACGCAGGTACTCGCTTTTGGAAATAAAATTTCAACGATAAATTTTTGTGCGGGTGAGAATTTTTTTCCACAGGTATTCTATAAGACTCAAATTATCTCTTAAGCCCCAAAAAAAACTTTGTTTTGAAAAGTCTGCTCTAGGACTCCCCCTTGAATGAAAGCATATATATCACTATAAGTATTGTGATTATACTTACCTTTTATTTAAAATAGAGAAATAAACTCTAGCAATGAAAAAAATAGTCGAAACTTCATAATAAAATCTTTTTTGAATGAATGTTTTAATGTGTTTTCTAAAATTTCAAGTTCTTATATTCATAATTATTTAAGGTCAAGAACAAGTGAAATTTAGTGCAAAAAAATATCTTCGAAAAATAAAAAAATTAGTTTTAATAATCCAAATAAATTATTATTTTAGAAGAACGCAACAAGGGTATGTAACAATTCCAAGACAAACTAGAGCATGATAATGATAAATATAAATATTACGAAAGTATTCAAATTCGTCGGTCAGCTATATACTGCAATATTAATTGGTGTGGTCCGTTTTTATAATAAACACAATTATTTAATGTAGAAACCACATCGGCCATGTAGAATATTGAAATACATACCACCGTCACTATATATTCAATGATATTCTTCATCGTCGTCGCCATCACCATTCCAACTTTATAAAAGCAAAATGCCTTTGTAATGGTATATCAAATGAAATAAGCAAAAAACAAGTAAGTACAAGGCACTGTGAGGACCAAAGTCCCAGAGTCATTTTGAACCCATACATAGGCTTAGTTAATTTTCTTTATATGCTTCTCTTTATTATTATTGGTTTACTTTTATATAACATTATCTTACCCCTTTTCTATATACACGTGTATATTCTAGTACTAGTATTAGGCTCGTAACCGTAAATGCCTACTTTATATAATATTATTCCACACCTATATATTATTCTATCTTTTCATATATATCGATTTGTTTACTTTCCTACTCTCTGTAAATGTACTTACATATATTGTAGTACATTACCAGATTGATAAAAAACTACCGGAAGTCCGCAAGGCATATCAGCTGGTTTCGAATAGGATTGTCAGTCGATGGGCAACGCTGATCACGATAGATAAGTTCGAAGGAAATGTTAAGAGCATTTCCTCTTTGTCTCTGATTGAAGCCGTCGTACAGGATGGATGTACGTTTGCTACTCCGAAAGTGTCCGAAGAATAATCATGAGGAGCCTTTTAAGACAAGAACTGATTAAGGATGATAAGAATAAACTGAGGAGCTGAGACGTTAGACTAGAAAACGAAGGGTCTAGCTATAGACAGGATAAAATTTAGGGGAACACCTCGTTATTCTCTACGAAACTTCATAAGTTTGGTGAACGTTAGAGCCGCATGGATCATTGGGATTGCATGGGTGATTAGGATTTGTATACGTAAGTAATATATTTTATATCTCCTTTAGTTAATAAGAGCGATTTTGAATTTAATAAAGATTATGGTTTTATGCAATTTTATAAACGAAGTAAATGCCTTCTGATAATTTATCTGGTTAGAATAAAACTAGAGAGTAAATTAATATTATTTCCAGCAAACTTTGACAGCCTCGGCAAGCTAACCCCAGCATACAGCAACAAGTTCAAGAAAGTTCCCACAACGGAAGAATTTTCAATCTTTACAGGACTCCGTAACTCCCCCAAGGTACATGGTAAAGTGTTAAATATTATCTAAGGCTAGATTTACGGACGAATTGCATGCATGTAAGTATTTTTACGATAATCTATCCATTTGATAGGTAAATTTTGTGAACCGTCATGCCTGAGGAAATAAGATAAGATACTGAACCTTGGCACATGAATAGTTGCTGACGCAGCTGATACTGGCAACGTCTTTAATCGCTGTACAATTATTTTTAACCGACTGTATGAAAATAAATTCATTGAAAATTGTCAAGACTAAGCACTTTCATACACACAGTCTGCTAATCGTTATTACTCTTTGAAGCCATTACCGAACGATGAGAACGTAATGAAGAAGGAGTCGAAAACGTTTGCAACGCCTAGAAGGAATTTTTCAGAGATAGTATTTGACATATATGTTTGTCTGCCCGTCTATTCGGCCGTCCACGTAATCGTACGTCAGTCTATGGATGCGCGTAGTAAACGTTCTTGTGATCGCAAACTATATATCAGCTTCAAATTTGTTAAGCAGGGTGGAATTTGCTGCAATAGACCAAATCAATTAAAGAACATGGCTATATTGTAACATAAGGAAATCCAATAAACCGGATTTTTTGCAGTACTTATAAACTACAACATTTCTGTTTATTAGTAGTTATTCAAGTTCACACAACATTGTTGATTATTGAAGTTTCATTTTTTTTTTTTTCATTCAAAGTAAGGATAATGGATAAAATAAGTCGGTACTATTTGAATATAAATTTTTTATCCATTTTTTTAATTAATTTCTTATTTTAGTATTTTAAAAACTTCAGTGTATTTCTTCTTGCTTTGAATTAGTTTACCTTTTACTTGATAATAACTGTGGTAGTTACTTTTCTCTTTCTGAGCTCTAATTTAATCATTTTTATAACCACCGCTTAACTGAAGGAGCTTCATAGGTTTGTGAAGGCGAGTTCATTAGGTTCGTTCGATGGTATGGCTCTATGTCTGTTGATACAACCTTTATTCGCAACATTTCTTATGACTGAAAACATATAACGGAAGTTTGGAACATCTAAATTATTTTCGAAAACATATTTCCGCGTTTGAACGCCGCCAACTTTGATCTTGACACAATTTTTCATCATAATTTCGGTAAGTCTGTGCAAGCAATCTTAAGCTAGAGCAATAGTTGGACCTGCAAAGAATTGACTCGAATAATGCTCAATAATTGAATTACATTCATTTTCCACGTTCAATCACCGAGGCTTGGATTTGAATACTGTGTAAAAACCACTAAAAACATAAAAGAAAAACGAATAATCAGCGTAATTCAAAACATCAAACACCAAAAAGTAATACATAGTCGTAAAGAACTCATCGTCACAGGAGATCTCGCTAAGTTAGCTGAGACCTAAGAACAAGAAAAATACAATAAGCTATTGGAAAATCGTGTCTCCGTTGTGAACTCCTTTAAGTGGACACATATTCTGGAAGCGTTTTAGAATGGACTTAAAAGAATTGAATCTTAGATTTTCAATAATTATATCCAACTGATTGTTGCCTATCAAAAGTGAGTGTTCACTTACCTCGCAGAGGTTTTCGTTACAATAAATTACTTTCAAAAATGTCGACAAATTTAGAGGCTTAAGTTACGATATCGTAGACATAAACTAGATACTACTTTGAATTGACATAAGTTTTCGTTGGCCAATACCCAATATTTTGTGTATAAGATTCAAATTCACTGAAAGAGGTAGACAAAATTTATATGTATCCGTGGTATTTTTGGAAGGGTTTACATGTTGTCAATTGTCAATTACGCTGCTCTTACCATGATAACAATTTCTGATTGTCAGTTTGCATAACGTGCAACCGTTCCGTCATATAGGCATATGACAAATGCTTGAAGATATACATACGGTCATGACGAAAGAAGGCCGTTTTTGTGCGTCATTTATGCACCTTCTCGCCGATTTATTCGATAAGCCCTTTTTTTGTCTTCTTTTAATTGTTGAAATATTTTTGTCACCTCCATGAAACGTATTTTAATATTGCTTACATTTACTAAAATTATTTTTAAACATCTTACATTTTTTTTTTGTGTTTTTTAAATTTTATTAAACCCTTTTGGCGTTGCTTTTTTTTCTCATTATTTATGACTACATTTTATTGGCAATAAGCTTTTGTTTTGATGAGTTTCGGCTTAGTTCTATTTAAAGGGAAAAAACCATGATACTATTTCTACATTATTTCCTGTACTATTCTCCTCTGCTAATATTTGTTTATATTGACTTTTTTAAAAGTGGGTTTTAATTCAAACTATATGCAACAATTCATTTTACATCAATGAGAGGATGTGCTTTAATTACTGGCATGTGAAAGCACTGTTAATAAATATACAAAATAATTGAAAGCACACACAGATTTTAGCACTAGAACTACCGACGTTTATACTACAATAGGTCAATTTGACCCATAAAGGGATTTGAAATGGACGCAGTCGCAAAAATGGGGAAAGGAAGCTGTAATTTGGTGCAAACATTCCTTCGACGATTAAAAACCCATGAAGAAGTTAAGAAGCGGGTGTGATTGGCCTGCATACATGCACCCAATGTAGAGAAAACCGAGACAACTACGAAAAAACAAAAAGCTTTTCAAATTTTCGTCTATAACTCTCGACTTCGTTGTGATATTACTACTCAAATGTTCACTAGAGCTACATGCCCTCATTTCTCTAAAAAACAGTCATAACATATATATGTAATTCGATGTAAGATATTTTCGTTTAAACAAAATATGATATATAAAAATTTACTCGTCTTGTTACTTATTTATTTATTTTGTTTTTTCTTGTGAATATATTTTGAAACTACGCAAAATATGTCAATTTTAAATTCATAGCAGTGCATTCACTTCGTCAAGAAAAAGATGCACGTATTATTTTTAGATTGCATGCGGATATAGAAACAATTTTTCAGAGAAGTAATCAAATAAGCAGGTTACAATGAAGAAGGCGACAATCGAAAATATCTGATTATGTTGGGAAATTTATTGTCGATTGTCGCAAAATGCGCTCTCTCAGTGACGTCAAATCTGGCGGCATTAAAATTGCTGGCAATGAGAACAAGTTTGCATTAGTATTGAATATTGAGTACAAACCAAGTAAAGTTACCAAAAATCTCTTTTTTAGACTTGAGTTTGTAAGAAATCAGCTGCAAAAGAAAAATATAAACAGCTGTTAAAAAATGAATTATTAATGCAGAAACTTAAAGAAATTGAAAAAAAAATGAAGTGTCTTCGAAAGTGGTAAAAGTAAATACAATTTGCTCTATCATTCGAATTCTTCTTAGTTTGTGTTTAAAATCCCCTTAGAGTCGTTTTGAAATAAAAATCTGCAAATTTCATATATTAATTATTTACCCGATAATCCAAGCCGAAAAACAAATAAGAGCTTAATTAAGAAATCTGTTAAAAGTACAAAATAAATTTAAAACGTGAGAGCTGCACAAGATATGAGAAAACAAATGACCAGAAATGAACAGAGTTTTTCCATAAATAAATTTGTTTTCGTTCTGGAAATCATCTAAATTGATTTTTGGTTATTTTTTTTATATTCATATAAAGTGACCTCTAAAGTTAATTTCAATAAACTTCTCTAGTATTCAATACGATTTTTAGTTTAGAACTGAACCTCACTTTTTACTATTGTGAATTGTACAAATAAATTTCCAAATGAAAGTTGTAGTAACGAAAAAATTTTTAAATTTTAATGATACTTTATTCTATTTTTGCTATGTTCCTTTCGAAATATTTTTTTCCTCTTTTTACAAATTTTTAAATCTTATCACTGTTCACAGTTCCTTAAGAAGGCTTACTCAGGGAGATTATTTTTCTGATTATGATTTTGTTCGATAACAACCACTGTCGTAATGCGGCTTATTATGACGATTGAGGGTCATAAATAAAAATAAATAAAGTTGTCACCTCTTAGCGAATATTAAAAAAAGTACTTGTCGATTTTCCCACATTCCATTACTAGCATTCTTATAACTTTTCAAATGTATATACGAAAACAATACTTCTGAAATTTCAACGTCTGCGGTAAACAGACGTTATAAAATTTGATTATAAGTTCGACTTTTTACGCCGATGAAACAGAAATTGTTGGAAATCTTATAGGGTATAGCTGCGTTTGTTTAAAATTAAGAATTATTTAATTAAATTAAAAAGTCTCATTGAAATATTTGTAGTTTTTCTTCTTAATTTTGTACCACATACTCGTTCAACTTTAAATCAGTTTATATTATTGCTATTTTTTCCCTTTTCTTTTCAGTTAAAAAATGCATCTTAAACGCTTCATGCAACTTTTCTCTATCTATATGAATGTTCTCTACCAATTTTGAAAATGACAAAATAGGCAATCGACATGTAAGTCTGCGAGTTGGAAAAAAAAATTGTATAACATTTCAGTAGAAATTTTCTCTTGGACTATTTATCATTTAGTTTTCTCCGAATTAAATCTTAAAAAGATATTTTGCCCACTTAACAGACTAGACTGAATTGACATATATGTTAAGCATGTGAATACGTGTACGCAGATTTTCTAGTAAAATCGAAGAGGTAGTTATTTCATTCAATGTCTCGTTCAACAATAGCCATTATTTCTCATGTCATTAAAGCAGAATATTTGCTAGATGCGAAGCGAAAAATTGATCTTTTGAAGCTATGCGAAAAAGAATTCATATTTGTGTATCGGAATAAGAATGGAAACATCGTTCGACCGAACAATGAGTTATGTATTGAAAGACGTATTAATCGTAAGAGATAATGTCTGCTGATAACAGCAGAGAGGGTAGCACATTCCAGACCAGTGCTGTTAACGTTTCCTTAGTAAGTTTTGCTAAATGAAGCCGAACTTTTTCATGCTGAGAATTGACGATATTATGCTTTTTGGCGCGCTGCGCCCGTTTTTCCTCTCAACTTCGTCAATTGTTTCTGGCAAGGTTCCTTAATGATCGTTTTATTTGGCTGGAACAAACCATAATACAAACCCACCAGTTCACGAGCATCACAGAAACTACAATTGTAATGGGCCACCATAAAGAAGTTATAATTGGATTGGGACAAGTCTTTCAATACCGGCAATTAATTTATTTATGATTTTTGCCTTTTTAATAGTGGCAGAAAATTATCGAATTTTCTCAATTATAAAAAGGAAAATTTTATACCAACAACATCTTAAATAGATTTAAATAGATTTTAATATAATTTTGTAACACCTATAAAAAATAAATTTAAACTGCCATAACAAATGGCAAAAAGCGCATATGTGAAATTGAAAGGAATAGAACTAATTCAAATGGAACAATTTATGTTTGCAAATGCGTTTAAAGCTCAGCATTATAC